TTTCTACATAGCATAATTAAAAAGGTGATAAAGGCAAGAGGCTTGTAGCTTGAGTAATTACTAATAATTAATTCTGCATTTGAGATCTTGTGTTCAAATACCCTCTCTCCTAATATTAGCTTGCATCCACCAAAACAAAAAAACAAACGAAAAAAACAAAAACAAAAAAATACGATAAAGGACATAATATACTTAAAACCTAACATAATCCATCAATACAAAATCACCACAAACGCTTCCACATATGCTTCAGAAAAACACTTTACACCTATCATGTATCATCATTCATCTCATTCCATCCAACAAACTCACCATCTCTCCAACCAAAAAAGAGAAGTAAATGTACCTCAGTTAAAACTTAAGAGTATGTTGCAAAGGATCCCGAGCCTCTACATTTAGAATCTACGTATTTATCCAAATTTCACTTAATTTATTTTTAACCTTTGTAGTATATAAACGTCAACTACTATAAAATTTAATTTTATCTTATGAGAGCCATCATATTATTTTAACACTCTAAAGTGCAATTATGCTCTTCCATTAATTTTTTTTATATATAGAAGCAACACGTGCAACTTCCCCCATCGACCACCCACCTCCCTCCCCAATCTATTCCTTTTTTTGTATCGTCTTTTATTTCTCATTGTGTTAGGTTTAGGAGTCTTAGAATTGGCTTCCCTTGCCAAATGTACACGTTCATGTAATTCCTCTTAGCCCATATTTAGAAATTAGGACTTGGGTATTTGCTACAAAGTTGAAGTACATTGAAGAGTTTACAAGGCTACAAAACCAAGGTAATTTGTGCATTCATTTATAATGGGTTTTTAGAGAGAGAGAGAGAGAGATATATATATATATATATATATATATATATATATAGAGTTCTAGTGAGAGAGCATAAATTAGGTTTTGCTTCTTGGGAGAAGAGTTCATGGGTTCTTGAATTCTTTTTGGGGCTTTCATTGAAATTTCATCTCTCAAATTTTTGTTTAGTGATATGAAGTTCTAATCTCTCATCACTTTTGTTGATGCCTAAATTTGGTTCAATAGAAGATGGCCTCTTTGAGATCGAGGTCCGCAATCCTTCCAAACCAACTTGGCATGACTAAGCATGTCATCCCCTAGAACGAGTTCTAGTGTTAGGGATTGCACTTGTAATTAGAAATTAAGCAAGAATATACAATCAAGAGACATGAGAGATTTACGTGGTTCACCCATAATACGAGGTGTTGGGTATTTTCACTATTGAATGAAGAAAGAACAAGAGATACAAAGTGTTTGATCATCACAACCCCTACCCCAATTAAACCCATAACACTCATATACCGAATAAAAGAAGATATTGATATAGTCGGGTTGAATAGTGCTCGAGAGGATGCAGTAGGAGCCGAGAAACTGAGAGGATGCAGAAGGGAACTCCTCATAAGTTGGAAAGTTGCCTTTATATAATAACTTGGAGATATCCCAATCCTTGTAGGAGTAGGCTTCCTAATTGATCTCAAAGTAAAAGTCAATATCTGAATAGATTCTAATCTTATGAAGCTCGGCCTTAGGGTAATTTTACCCACAAACAAGTCATTTACACCACTTTGGAAAACTTGGTTTTCTCTTTAGTTTGTCTGAGAGTGTTCATGGCAGAGAAATGAGTTTTCAAGATTTCATTTTGAAAGTTGCTTCTTTTTTAGAAGGCATCCATCACTTCACCCATTGAGAATTTTTGAGAGTATAACTTTTACTGTGCATTTTCTACGTAGTGAGGTCATGGTTTTCAAAAAATGAGATTGCTTCTGATCTTCAAAATATGCATCTAGCATTTCATGCACTTAATATGTTTAGATCTAAGTCAAATTCTTGATTGGGTTCTTCAAGAATATGGTTTCTTGAAGGAATTGATCCTTGTTTTTTGAATTCTTGTTTGAATCTGAGCTGAGCCGTCGGTGCCATAGAGTGAAGGAGAAGATGACATGTCCATAAAGAACTAGCTACTAGCTTGACTAAGTTGAAGAAGAAGGTTGCACAGTGAGGTAGAGTTAGTTTCCTAAATAGACCTAGGATTGTTTGGGCTTGTGATTCCCTTATCTGTAAGAATCTTCTTTGCTTAGTGGATTCCCTGGAAGGATGATGGCCCAGAGTTTCTACCAGTTGTGGGTTTATGGGTGAACATTTCTAGTGTTGATTCTGGATATCTTGACTCATCATACTTGTTCAATATCTGTGTATGATTGTGATGGATGTTCATGCATTTATCATTCTAGTTGTTGCAAACACTGGGGATGGCTAGATTGACGAATACTTCTAAGGGACATTTTCATCAATTTATTACAATTTAAAACTTACATTATTTAAACTAACATAATTAAAAAATAATACGAAAAAAGAGGAAAATCAACCTAATTATCCCATAACCTCCCCCACACCCTTTGACGTTCGCGATTACCACTTGAAATTTCAATTTTTACTATTAGCCACCTCAACTTTGCAAAGTGTTCCAATTTACCACCTACGTGTAACTCCGTTAAAATTTCCGTTAACTAAATTGATATTTAAGGGACATTTTCATCAATTTATTACAATTTAAAACTTACATTATTTAAATTGACATAATTAAAAATAATAGGAAAAAAGAAGAAGAAAATCAACCTAATTATCCCACAACCTCCCCCACACCCTTTGATGTAGGACAAATCATAGGTTTGTTCTTACAAAGGAAATTTGAAAAACACCCTTTTATGTAGGACAAATCATAGGTTTGTTCTTACAAAGGAAATTTGAAAAAGGGGAAATTTTCAAAATCAAAAAATTCTTTTAGTTTCAAATTTGTTAAGTTTTTAATTATAATAACTTGACTTAATAGAAATTTTATGTCACGACCCGACGCTCCTAGCACGATATTGTCCGCTTTGGACCCTCCTCTCTGCCCTCACGGTTTTGTTTCTGGGAGCTCATGAGCAACTTCCCAGTGGGTCACCCATCATGGGATTGCTCTGGCCCCCAACTCGCTTAACGTCGGAGTTCCTAAGAATCTGAAGCCAGTGAGCTCCCAAAAGGCCTCGTGCTAGGAAGAGAAGTGCCCATACATTTAAAGCACTTCACCTTTCCCTCCCCGAGGGATGTGGGATTGCTCACCGTTCTTGTTTCCCCAAGACACGGGTCTTACAATCCACCCCCCTTGGGGCCCAGCGTCCTCGTTGGCACACTTCCGGTCGGGGTCCAGCTCTGATACCATTTGTCACGACCCGACTCTCCTAGCACGATATTGTCCGCTTTGGGCCCCTCTCTCTGCCCTCACGGTTTTGTTTCTGGGAACTCACGAGCAACTTCCCAGTGGGTCACCCATCCTGGGATTGCTCTGGCCCCCAACTCGCTTAACTTCGGAGTTCCTAAGAATCCGAAGCCAGTGAGCTCCCAAAAGGCCTCGTGCTAGAAAGAGAAGTGCCCACACATTTAAAGCACTTCACCTTTCCCTCCCCGAGCGATGTGGGATTGCTCACCGTTCTTGTTTCCCCAAGACACGGGTCTTACATTTTAACAGAGTTATATATAGGTGGTAAATTGCTACACTTTATAAAGTTTAGGTGGTTAATAAAGAAAATTAAAAGTTTAGATAGTAATCTGTACACACCTAAAAGTTTAGGTAGTATTTATGCAAATTTCACAACAAAAAAAACCTAAATCAAAAGCCACCTCATAGATTAATGAGATCAAACAAAGTACCTAACTTCTCTCTCTTCTTGAAGTTCTCTAGATTATTGAGCTCTCAACTCAAGCTTGATCTGGCTAGAATCTTCATTTAATCAAGAGATGCAATTAAAATCATTTTATGTGTGAACCACGAGATAACCATAGCAAACATGGAAAGGTAGTCTGAGTACGCATCAAAGTTTCCTGATCAGTGGAGTGGTGGTGCGACGATTGTGGTGCCAGAACGGGGTGGATTTTGTTTCTTGGTTTTTTTTTTTCTTCTTAATTTTATGGGAGTTTCACTAAAATACCCAAAATGGGGGCTGAAATTATAAAAATACCCAACACCCAAAACACTTTATAAACATACCAAAAACCCATCATTACACACACTCAAAACCCATTTATAAACACACCCAAAAAATATTCAATTGTTGATTGTGGGGTTGATTTTGGGTGTGTTTCTATGTTTAAATAGTGTTTGGGTATTTTTATAAACACATGTCTAGGATTGGGTATTTTTATAAATATCTATAATTTTATTGGAAGGGTAAAATTGGATTTTTAGACTGTTAAACTAAACTAAATTTATGGTAGTTGACGTGTCATGACTAGCAAGTCGTTAGATTATTACAATGACTAAGAAAAAGGCCCCATTATATTGGTGGGCTCCACCTCTATTAGAGAGGTGATACATAAGTTGAAATACAAACACGGTATGACTAACATTGCATGAATAAATGCATAGATTCTAAATGCAGAGACTCGGGATCCATGTTGCAAAAGCACCTTATTAAACCAAGAAGGCGTCTAGTATTGCAATTCAAATAATTCTCTGAAAACAACAAAGTAAAAATCTATCTTGTATTGAAATTCAAAATTTAGTCTTACATTCTATGAAGCCTAAAGAAGTTTTAAGTCTTAAATTCTACGAATCTACAACTCTTTATTTCTAACTAAAGAGTGAGTGACGGTGGGGTAGACATAGAAGTTGAAACCAACCAGAGGCTCAATTTCACCCCCAAAACTCACCCAATCTACATTCTAACACCAATTTCTTCATATCACAAACTACAATTAATAAATGTGTTGGTTTCTCACCGTCCTTGACAACATTAGTTAGTAGAAATCTTCAGCATCGTCATCACTCTTACTCACAAGTCACATACCCAAAATCCTCACTTGAATTCAAGGCATCACTTAATCGTCCAAAGACATGCTCATGATGATGAGTATTGCACTTGAATATCGTAAATATAACTTTGTACCCAGTGAGGCAAAAAGGCTGAGAACTCTTGCACTTGGACAGCCAGGAGACTTTATTGTCTCATCATCCTTTGCTGCTGTACCACCAGAATAGAAGCTCTACAATTGAAATCTGGAGATGCAAGCAAATCCCCTATAGTCCCTAGCTCTGGAAATTCACTCCATTCTGAAAGCCCTACTGTCTGAGAGGACTGTACCCCATACCTTCTCCCTACTATAATAAGATCATACTTATCCGCAATAGGCCGAAGTAAAAAAGTTGTCTGAGGCCCATCTTTCACAGCTTCCTCCATGTACATCACATACCGCTCATCCACATCATTATATCTAAAACACTTCAACTCCTCTGCATCAAGTACACTATCCCAATCCGAGTCAACAGCTTCATTAGTCGTGGAAACAAGCCTGATCACAGTTAGGCTAATCGTTGAGTCCTTGGCCATTCTTTTGGCAAATGCTAATGCCTCCCGGTCATCTTTACCTCCCAAGAAGACTATAGCCACATAAAATGATGACTGAGGTGCTACAATGGAGGTGGACCGGCCTAAATAGCCGCGGTCTACAAGAATTCCAACAGAGCATGGGGCTCTATCTAGGACACTACAATTTAGGGTCCTGATGTTGTTGTCTTCTGACTCCACAGAACCTTCAATAGACCATGTCCGGTGAAATGGGAGCACGACTAAGGATACAAGCTTGTCCAGTGCCAGGGTGCATATGTCTTCATGCATGTATTTTGGTGCAGAGATTGTTGTGAAGAGGCTTAGAGAAACAGCCCCTAGATTTTCCCTTACAAACTGATTGAAGTAAAGAATGACATTGTCTGAGTATGAAACATTGGAGACAGTTTTTTTCTGCAATTCGTGGGAGATGAAAATAGGGGAGGCCCTGCCAACTAATTCAATAAGGTGAAGAACATAAACACCAATGGGGTGCTCTATAGATGGACATGCTGCATCAAGTAGATTGATGACTGCAGGCATGTTAGTGGACCTATGAATGCAGGCAAGTATTTTGAGTTCAGCATTGGGTTTCAAATGCATCATATTCCTTCTCTGGTAGCCTGCGTACTTCCTTGAAGGGTCATATAGTAAATTCACCGCGATCGGTACAACAGTTGCAGTCACTAATACGCTAGTAATTGCCAAAACAAATGTTGGGTCATTGATGGTCTGTGTTAAAAAAAAAAGAAAAAAGTATTATTTTCTTACCAAACCAAAGTATGATTTTGCTCGGAGAGGAATCATACATATTTTCTTACCACATGATATTATCACGGGTGGGATATTCCACGTGACGCTTGTTACAACAATTATTGCGTTTAATTATTAATAGATACAACAATTGTCACATAATGTAGCTAACGTGATCAGAAAATACATCCATCTTAACGTTGGATAGAGAAAAGAGGGGTACCTGATTGTCTCTGAAATTGGTATAGGCGGCAAGGTTGACAATGCCTTTGCAACTCAAAATGAGAGCAATTGCCGATGCATCACTGAAGGGCATGTTGCAATACAATGGAGCAGCAATGGAGGCTAAGAATTTGGCCACAAGAGCGACGAGGATGAGGATTCCATTGACTTGCGTGAATGCGTCAGTTTTAAAATATTTAAGCGACAAAAAGTCTGTCCTCATGGAACTTATAGTCACAAAGATGGGCAGAAGCACATCAGAGACGAACAAACCGAGGTTGGCTTCAATGGCTGATCCCAATGGTGGTCCGGCTGGGACAGCCAAACCAAGTATAAACGGACCAAAATGAAAACCTTGGCCATACATATGCGAAAGCACCCCAGATGAAAGCACAACGAGGATGATGATATTGAGATAGGCTTTCTTGACAGGCCTGTTTTCAGGGGTCTGCCTGATCACCCAATACATTGCCGGTCTGAGTATGGCCACAACAACGATGATATAGCCAATGCTGGATCCTATGCCCAACATAGACCTCCGTGCAGAACTCTCTTGTACCATTCTAGCTAATGTGCCCAGAAATAGCAGAAACACACTAAACATGTCACTGACCAATGCTGCAGACATGCCTAATCGCCCAATCTCTGAATTCAAGATCTTGAGGTCCTCAAGAAGGCAAGCAACAACCGGAAACGGAGTCAAACAATGTGTTGCAGTCATAAATGGAAGCTTGAACATTTCGTCGGCGGTTAGTTTAAAGTAAGAAGAGGTGAGCTTGGTTTGGACAAGCATACCGACTACCAAAGGAAAGAGGACGCAGGCAATACCGCTGCACAGGGCCTTTTGCCCTGTCCTGTTTATCATTCCCAAATCCATTTTCACTCCAATGAGAAACATAAAGAGTCCATAGCCAAACTCAGAAAGCACACCAAGTATTTCTTGGCTCTGTAGATTAAACAGGTATTGCTTCAATACTGGTAGTTTCCCGAGGAATGTAGGTCCGAGGATTAGGCCTGTCTGCTTAACAAGAAATCATCTCAAGCATTCAGTATATTTATAGATATATTTTTTTGTTATTCAATAGTTGTTGTTCATCATGAGATTTATATTTAAAACATATAGTTCAACGAAATGGAGACCGGCCGCCGGGTGCCACTAGACGATTGGGTTAGTATATAAAATATATATATGTCAAAAGAGTAATGTTATATTTACCAACTACATTGCTATCTATTCATTGGACGTGTTACAAATAATTCTATAAAAATAAGAGACAGAGAAAGAAGCCCGTACGATAATTTGGGTGGTGAATCTTGGAACTCCGAGATAGCGCAAAACGGAATAGAAGGCTTTCGTCACGAAAAAAACTAAGACCATCTGCAGCTCCAGATTGGGAAGGGTATATGGTATCCCAGCAGCTGTTTTGTATTTGAAAAGGCCCGGCGAATGTATGTTAGGGGGGAACTCAATACACTCAGTAATATTCTTGTGGGGTAATGTTAGGTTGCCGGACGACATGGTTTCGTGCCTGGCAGCTTTTCTCTCTGGGTCTCTCTCTCTCTCTCTCTCTCTCTCTTTTGATCAAATAGGCAG